CACACACACACACACACACACACACACACACACACACACAAATAAATAAATAAATAAAAGAAAAAAAAAGGATAAGGGGAAAAGAAAGAGTTGTGCCTTAGTTGAAGAAAGGTGGCCTTGATGATGGTAGATTGATAATACCCATGAAAGCAATCAAGGGAATCAGTTAAAGGCAATGAGCCTATGCATATTACTGTAACCAAAATAAGTGTGAAATGTTGAAATCAAAAGAAAGTAGAATGAATTCTGTAGAAATAAAGGGACAATAAAGATATCTACGAGGGCTGGGGAGATAGCTCTGCAGTCTAAGCACCTGCCTGGCAAGTGCCAGGACCTGGATTTGATCCCCAGTACCACATGCCATGCAGGCCCACGGAACACTGGGCACACCATACCAGCCACCAAAACCATAATCCCAGAGCTGGAGAGGCTGAGACAGAAGGATCACTATGAGTCTGAGCTGTGTAGTGAGACCCTGTACCAAATAAGTAAATAAATGAATGAATAAATAAAAGATAAAAAACATATCTGTGTAAATTTATGGTTTCCCACATATTTATATGTTTAAATTAATGGAGAAAAATGTGTAGATATACAGAAAGGAAAATCATGGGAGGGCAGAGAAAGAGCTGGTGGGTCAGATTAAAGAGGAGACATCACTGGGGAAAAGAAAGCCAGTGACAAAGAAGCTGAATGTAGGGCATGAGCATGTTTGTGAAAAAGTACCACAAAAAAAAAAAAAAAAAAAAGTTTTTTACAGTGGTTTCCCTTCTGCCTGTGAAGGAAAAATCATATTTAGGACTTCTTTTAAGTCTATGCTTGTCTACAAGTGGTTCCATTTAATTATCCTCAAGGTTAAAACATAAGTCATATGGGGCTGGTCTTAGAATGTGGAATCTAGAATGTGCCTGATCGGCTCTACATGATGAAGTGACCGCAGTGTGCACACACACGCCTTAGCATAGGTTGGATCATAAGCAACAGACTTAGACAGAAGCATACAGATATGCTTTATTTTTGCTGAAAGTTCACAAGCCACAGTTCTCTATTTGCTTGGTTCCCCTTTTTCTTTCTTCCTGTTTCTTTTGCTGTTTTAATTCCATTTCTTTTTACGTACGTTTACGAATTGTATTGCATATGTTCAACAGCCACAGTCATCGCTGTGCTTGTCCCGGTGATGGGACCTCTGTCTGGGATCTGAGCGGCTCCACGTTATGTTTTCTCATTCTAATGAGATTGCTGTCGAGGTTCCTGGGTCTTTAGGCACAGATTTCATTGTGCTGAATGACTGGAGCATCTGTCACCGTGTTTGGACCTCCTTTATAAGAATTTTTAGAGGAAGGAGGAAACAGATTTTCTGATAAAGCAGAAAATCTCTTCTCAACATGGCTTTGGAAATCACATATGCTGAAGTGAGGTTCAAAACTGAATCAAAGTCCTCAGGCACCAACTCACTGTCTCCTGATGGTAAGAAATTATTTCTAATGATTGGAACTAATGATGGGATGAAGGAAAAACACTGGGTTTATGAACTCAGGATGGGCAATGTTAAGTGCTGGTTGTCTGTGACTCAATGAAAAATGTGTGCATTGTCAGATTTAGTTACCCATAGTTAGGCACTCAGGGGTTGTAGGGGTGTATAGTGGAAATGATGCTTTTTCTACTCTTAGCATTTAGAGAAAAGCATACTTTACAGGTTATGGTCTGTCCTTAAAAACAGAAATACATAATTGTGTGAACAGATTTTTCCAAAAAGAAATTGTATTATATAATCCAAGGTTTACTTTTACCCACTCGACAATATTTCATCACTTCAGGAAAATGTTTTTAAAACTTATCTGGTATTTTCATCTTAAAGAAGGTTTGGTTTGGTTTTTTTCAGGGGTCTGCATCCAAGGTTTTATACATGCTAGGCAGGTGTTCTTACACTGAATTAAAACCCCAACACAGAAAATGGTTTCAAATCATGATGTGACAACTAAAAATACTGATCTCAATTGTTAAATGAGATAATATTTATCTGCTATAGTACATAAATCTTTAAGACAATAAGTAATTATTTAAATACTAAATGAAACAGTGTGCAATCAAAGTATGTTGAAGAGCAAAACATGCAGGTACAAAAAATGTTCACGGTATGTGTGTAAAAGGGATGGCTCATCAATCCCCGGTCTCCCACACCTTGCTGGCCCTGCCTCCAGCCACCAAGTCTGGGTGTGGTAGTGCATGCCTGTAATCCCAGTGCTAGGGAGGCTGAAAACAGGAGGATCACTATGGGTCCGAGCTGCATAGTAAGACCCTATGAGAAATAAATGAGACATAAATGAGAAAAAAGGAAATAGTTCAAAATTCAATAAATATATGTACAATGTGACATAATACACATATGTGTATATACACTTAAAATTGCTAAAATGATATGAACAAAACCATTAACAGCAGGGTTTCTCGGAAGAAAGAATTTATACTTTTGTAGAAAGTTTAAAGTTTTTACAATCAACATCTTTTCTTATTTCTATTTTATTTTATTTTGTTTATTTTTTGTAATGTAGTTGGTTGTTTCAAGGTCTAACTATGCAGTTTGGATTCATAGTGATACTCCTGATTTCAGCCTCTCCAAGCTGTGATTACAGGCATGTGCCTCAACACCCAGACTCTGTGGGCAGGGTTGGTGTGGCATGTGGTACTGGGGATCGAACTATGGTCTCTGTGTTTGCCAAAGCCCTGGCTGGGTAAATAACTCAGTGGCATAAGCACCTGCCTGGCAAGTGCAAGGTTCTGAGTTTGAGCCCCAGTACTGCATAAATAAATAAATAAATAAATAAATAAATAAATAAACAAACAAACAGATGTGCCTAATCAGGCACTCTAGTTCACTAAGCTATCTTACCAGCCCCCCATTTCTATTTTAATATTACTTCAAATTTCATGATATTAGAAATTATATGTCATATAAGTGAAGAAAAAGAAGAAGAGAAAATTAGAATATAGTTTATTTCTCAGGAAATTAATTTGGCTTCTCCTTTAGCCCCCAGAGAGAAGACCACCTTTCACCAAAGCAATTCTGGCTTTCTCAAGCTGCTTCTCATCACATTGTCGACAGTTTTCTTCCTCTTGACAATCTTATTTCTTGCCGCTTTCATCAGTAAGTACGCCAGCAGAATGAAAAAGCAGCGTGTGCTTCTCATGAAGGGACGGTGCCCACTAAAAGTTGACACTGGACAATGGATTGAGCCCAACATCTGAAAAAGAAATTTACTTTGGGAATATATAATTTATAGGAATCCACTAAAGATGTCCTTCTTTCTTTGCATTTAGTTATTTTGCTTTTAAAAACAATGAAATCATTTCTCCTTAGAGCAACTGATGTGTAAATGTTTATGTATGTGTTGGTGCTGTCAGGTGAAATCTCTGGGGCATCATCTGTGTGTAAGGCCAGATGAATTTGAGTGCACTGAGATAATTAATTGGACAGAAAAGAGATTAAAAACAGTCCAGGGCAACTTCTTCAATGACATGTTCCAAATTATTTTTATCCTGCCTCAAAGTTTGTAAAATATAAAAGATAATTTAGGAAGTATGTGAATATCTGCTTATCTTAGCTTTCAGAAATGTTCAAATTTTAACACACTTAAAATTATTAACTTTTCAAATACATATTTTATTCATTAACTTAGTCATTCAGTAAGTAGTCATACTGTACTATATCAGGTTAAAACTGAGAAATAGACATCGGTTGCTCTAAGAAACATATTGAAGAGTTAGATGGATCGGTGCGTACATCACTGTATGGGAAGAGTTGAGCAGGTGACAAATAGGCAGGGAAGGTTGAAATAGACTTTTTACAGAAAGTGACAGCTCGAGTTGTGTTTATTTTTAAATATTTATAGGGTCTCACTACACAGCTCAGACTCAGTGATCCTTCTGTTTTCAGCCTCCCCAGCACTGGGATTGTAGATATGGGCCACTATGCCCAGACTCTATGGTGGGCTCTGCTCACCCTGGGGGCCAGGCTGGCAGGGTATGTGGTGTTGGGGATCAAACCGCAGTCCCTGCGCTTCCTAAGCTTGCCTAAGCAAGCACTTTAGTCCACTGAGCTATCTCTCTGGTCCCCTTGAGATGTGCTTATTAAGAGTGAGTGGAGGATCAAATTGCATGCAGTGAAAGCTGCTTCTACACATTCTGTTGGCCAAGGGAAGTACGAAAGCCAATAGAGGAGAAATAGACCCCATCTTATGAATAGAAATGACTCAGAGTCAAGTTGGAAAGGGAGTGGTTATAGGAAGGGTGGAAAAGTTTTTAATAATTCACAGTCTTCAATATCAAAAGATATTGAAGAATTTTAAGGAGTTGGTAAAATGTGACCATAAACGTATACTTTTACAAAGATGTGAAAATGTATGAGGAGAAAATTAGAGTTAAAGAGAGAAGTTAAATGACTAATCTATAATCTGATTTTAAAATACAGCTGGAGTAGTCAGGCATGGTGGCACATTCCTGTAATTCCAGCACTCAGGAGGCTGAAGCAGGAGAATTGTTGCAAGTTCCAGACCAGTCTGGGCTACAAAGTGAGTTTAAGGCCATCCTGAACAGTATAATGAGATCCTGTCTCAAAAAGACCAAAACTAAAAAAAAAAAACTAAATAAGTCAACAAAGCTTGACATAAGAACAGTGTTAATGGAGAAGGAGACAATGAATACAATTTTGAATTAAAAGGAGGCAGTACTAAAGAGGTGGACCTAGATGAATATTTAGATCTGTGGGTTAATAGTGTAAAGAGATCAATTGTGACCCTAATATCATGACTTGATAAATTCAACAAACAACTTTAAGTTTTCCAAGGAGGGAGGAACCATAGATGAGTAGCTAGCTTGGGTTGGAAGATGCTGATTTTAGTTTTGAGCATGTTGAGTTGAACCTCACATGTGCACATCTAGTGAGAAGCAGAACGTCAGAAGCTGTGTCAAGAAGGAGTAAAGTCATCTGTGTGACTTCTGAGCAGGTAAATTGCAGCAATCCTCCTGCCTCAGCCTCCAAAGTGCTGGGATAACAGAAATGTGCCACTATGTCTAGAAGGGGAGTAGAGGAAGTGGAACTCAGAGTGAGAATAAGGAGTGGTAAGGACAGGAAAGAGCAGTGTCCCAAGAGTCAAGAAGGAGGAGAACTGTGGTTAAGTATTGCTTCATACTGTGTAAGAACACGAGCAATATTGGGCCTGGGATGTCATTGTTTTTGTGAAATAGTGGCTAGAAAAGCCAGAATGTCATGAGTCCAGGAGCAAAGAGGAGGTAAAGAAAGCAAGAGAGAAATTCTGTTTCTATAGGAAAGGTTGAGTTCATTTTAAATTTACAGAGACATGAGAGTGTGTACTGAGGAGTCAAAGCCAGCTGGGATGGAGATAAGTAAAAGAAAGAAGAGGAAGAGACTATTATGCTCTTGATTGACTTTGAGTTATTTTTAAGTTTTCCATTCCCTAAGTTAACCTAGAAGTATTCATAACTAGTGAAGTCCTCTTTCCCACAAAACCCAGGGTGTGTAACCCTTAAATGCAAGTATTTACCTACCCTTCCCTCTATATTTCTTAAGATTTACCATTTGTATGGTTTTTACATTGAGTTTGAGGGATAATAAGGACAAATGTCTTCAGACCCATGATGATGGAAGTGCTGGGTCCTTTTTCAACTGTAGATCTTTCACAATTAGCCTTTCATTGACTATATGGTGAAGGGAAGACATTTCCTGACTGGAAAAAAAAAGTCTGGGCCTGACATCCCAGGCCCAATATTGCTTACTCTATCTACTTAAGTAGCTGAGCATTTGTAAATGTTTATATGAAGAATGTAAGAAAAAATACAAGGAGAGAGTACAGTCATAATGCTAACAAGGAAAAAGAATGGTGCTTATTCTCTTTTAAAGTTTTCTTTCAGAAATATTCTCAACTTCTTCAAGAAAAGAAGCCTCTTAGAGAAAGCTCACCGAAGCTCTCAGAACTGGAGTGTATAAAAACCAATTCAACCACAGAAGGTAAAATTTGCTATTTTGCCTTAGAACTCAGTTGCTGAAAATGGTATGTAGGATCCCAAGTCAGTATTTCTAAGAAGGTTCCCAGGCAGCTTATACTAAGAAGTGGAGTCTCATGATCCTTATGAGCTACAAGTGTATTTTTACATAGAATCTCAGCTTCTCTACGTATCTTAACTTATAAGTGCAAAGCTTGATTATAACAAAGGTAATAATGCTTTTAGCTTTCTTCAGCCTGTGCTCATTTCTAAACATTTTTGCACGCCACTCTTCCCTCATTGTACCTGTCCTAACCATTGGATCAAAATGATGATCGTGATGACTTCTATTATGGGTATTTCAATTTTTAAACAAATATAGTATTTTAAAGTTTTTATAATATATATTTTATAGATACAGGAAAGTTGAGTGCAAGACATGGACAGATCCAATTTTAATCACATCATGCACACTGAGTGTCTCCTATTAGTATCATACATGAGAAAGGGTGATTAGTACTCCTAATAAATACCTATTGATATGCTCTCACTAGTTAGATTTCATGGCCTTTTATTCAACTAGAATTGAACTAAAAGTTTTAAGCATGCGATGCAAGCACTCTACCAGTGAGCCACATTCTCAACCTAAAGTACAGCATTTACTTCAGTTTTCTTTTCATGTTTTTTTCTCTTTTTATAATCCCACACAAGGTACTGCAATCCACTTAGTTTTCATGTCCTTTTAAGTCTCCTTGTGACTGTGATGGTTATTTGGGTTTTCCTGGTATTTGAGGATCCTGAAACTTTTGAGAAAAACTGCTCTGATATATTATAGGGTGTCTCTATATATAAGTATGACATTCCGAATGGCTAACTTGGAGTTAGTAGTTTTTGAGAGAGATCACGATTATAAAATTCTATTTTCTTCAAGGGTATATGTTATGAAAATGATTATGAATATTAATGCTGACCTTGATCCAGTTAACTCAATAGCACTTTTAAAAAATTAATTTTATGGAGAAACAATTAGCAATGAGACAGTATCAAAAGCAATTAGTAGGGCAGGTTCAATAATTAATGCATTGCATATTATTGTCTTTATAGTGGTTATTCATAGTACAAGATGCAGACATGACATCCTGTCCAAACACTATTAGTACAAATCTTTCCTCTCAATGAGTTAAGAGAAAGTAGTTGTAAATCTAGCCTATTTTGTATATACAGATACAAAATGGTCCCTCATTTATATCCCCTTTTTTGTTTAGTTTTGTCAGAGATGGGTATTTCATTGCCATTTAAATATTGTAGGTGTGTGAATTCAGCAACATATTCCAACATATTTGAGTAGTCCATAATAGTAGGATTGGAAATGTCAGAAGTTGTAGACTTGGGCCTTTTACA